TAAAAAGTTTCATTATTATTTTTATAAGTTTAAACTGTAAAAATAAAATAATTAACACAAAGTTTCTTTTTTAAATAATCTTAATTTTATGATTCAGACCATAAACAAATTATAATAATTATCTAAAACCTTTTATATCTTTTTTTATCATAAAATTATAAAAGTACTATAATTTCATTATTATAAAATCAAAAAACCCTTGAGTTAAAAATAATATTAAAATTATTATTAATTAAAAAACTAAATTTTAAATCTTTGATTTTTCTGTACTCTTATCATATTAGATACTGAATTTCATTTTATAACAATACTAAACTTTTTTAAACTTATCAAAATACATCTAATAAATAAATAAAAATATCTAATTACAATATTTAAACTTTTTATCTTATCTCTTTCACTAAAATATTAACACAATTCAATAAAAATTCCACTATTTCTTCTACTGATAACATTTTTGAACTGTATATTTTCAGAAACAAAATAAATTAAAATTTATTAAATGCATCTACTAATTTTAATATTTCTGAATTATTACTTTCTTTATATAAAATTAATGATTTTTCATATTGATACTTAATCCTTGCTATTTATTATCTCATATATCAATTTCAAATAAAAATCTTATCAAATTATGCAAATATTTCTTGTATATATTGTTTGATTCTTATGTTAAATTCTTCTGTATAATAGATTAACTATATTGAAAATCACTTATATATAATGCTACAGACTTTTTTACTTTCTGTTCACACTAAAATAAATAATAGAAGTGTCATTAAAGTTGCTATTTGCAATAGATATAAAAATGAAAAAACATGCTGCTATCCTTTTATATTAATCTATATTCTTTTTCAAATACAAAATATTTCTATGTTTTATAGAAAATATCTTTCTTTCATTTTTATAAATTGTTTACTAAGTCAAATTGCAAATGCAAATCCTTATACCAACTATCATCTTCTTGAAGGATCTATTAATCTATCATGCAATTACAAAACTCTTTAATTATATTCTGAATTAATTGAATATTACTTAAATATCAATGAGCTATCAAATTGGTTTCATAATTCTTTAATTTCTGCATTCAAATAGCTTAAACAAACAAATACTTTTATTTGTAAATATGTGTTAGGTATAACTATTAGCTGTCCAATCCTAACAACACCTATTCATATTCTCTTACCCTTAGTTCAACAATTGCTTTGAACTACTACTTAATTTATGAATATATATTGCAGTAATATTTCTGATAATTTATCTTATTTACCTAACTTAGTTATTTCAAATAATTTTTTTTCCAAGAAATTTATAACAAGGATGCATATTATAGTTATCTATTAGTTGGTTCAATAATTAGTACTAATAAGCCTCTTATATTTAATAATCTGTATCTGGAAGCTTTAATGTTTTCAGACTTATTTTCTAATAATTAAAAACATTATAAAAATATAAGACAACTACTAAATTTTCAATCTTCAGTTAACAGTTACAGAAAATATATAAAATTATATCTATTTTGTCCTGATTCTTGTTTCTGTTTCTATTGGTACTAGCCTTATTGGTCATACTTAAATCTAGAAATAAAAGAAAATTTTAAAACTAACACTACATATTGTCAACTAGAAATATTAATCATGAAATTATCTAATGAGAGCATATTTGATTGCTAAAAGCCTTATAATATCTGTAACATTGTAAATAAAACTAGAACTACTACAATTTTTTTAAATCTTTAAATCACTGCTTCTTTTTTTAACAAAAATAATATCAAGTTAATACTATAATAAATTTCTATAGTTGGTCTCAAATTTTTTATATAATGACTATGGCTAAAGATAAGTGGCCTTATTTATATAAAATACTAAGACAAACTGACAATAGTAATACACTATCTACTAATTGTCTACTACATATTTACCTATTTTACTATAACTACTTAACTAATGTTCATAATAAACTTTGGAAACACCTGATCCTTTCCAGATAGAATAAATAGAAGCATTTTTTTGAATATAATAAATTTCAAAATTATGAAACTATATATATACTTGGATTTACATATACAGAAAAATATTCTTAAATTAATATCTTTGAATATAATCTGCATTGATTTTTCTGATCCTGTCTCTGAACCTGAATTACATGCATTAGTATTATTATTTCAGATACACTATTGTGATTACAGATGTAATAATCTAATTCCTAATAAAAATCTATGTTATAAGAATTTTTCTCAACCCTTATCTGAAAAAACCTATTTTTCACAACATTCTTTACATTATGTCTATCATTATACAAAAAATAAAGACAAAATAATAGTTTTTTATTATTCTAAAACCTTATTAATATGATATAATCACATTAACTTTTAATATATTACTTATACTAATTTTGCTAAATACATAATTAAATATGTTACTAAAGCAAAACCTTCAGAATTATTTAATCTTGATGAGACTAATAATTATAGAAAATATATTATAACAAAACAGTTAGGTATAATAGAGTTGATAATCCTTTTGCTACAATACCTTTTAATAAGATATTTTGTCTCTATATATTACTTTTCTTTCATTCTTTCTGATTTATACATAAAATCTGTTAAACCAATTTACCTTCTATATTATATAAATAATAATGAAGATAATATTAATCAAAATAATGCAATACTATATTGGGATGATGTCATTGATAAATACTTTGACTGACCTGATCATGAACATTTTTGTAAAATTACATATCCTGATTATTTTTAAATTACATATATAGTTCTAAATTATCTGACTTGAATTCAAAACTATTTCATATCTGAGATCAAAAAAATAGAATAGTATTACAAAGAAAAACACTTATTCTTTTGCATTTCATTAACTACAGAATAGAAGATGATGAACCTTTTTTTTCAATATCTTATTATGAAATTGTTTGTTAGATCAGAGCATGAATTATTAAATAGTTATAACTTCTATAAAGAACAATTTCAATTTGTCTTCCCTATTAGATTTGCTCTCAAAATTGATTCTATTTATCAGAGTCATCTTCTACAAAAAAATAATTTATCAAATGCTTATAATGCATTAATACAATTACTTGTATCTAAATTTGAAAACCAAGAATTATCTATCTTAATTTTTAATTAATTTATTTCTCTAAAAAAATACATACCTTATTTTAATAATTGTTCTTTTCTGACTCTTGATCTTAAATAATATGAAATCTACAATCTTTTATGTAATATGTGAAAAAAATTAAATAATAGCAAATATTCTTATGTCTTTTTACTAGTTCAACTAAAATTGGTAAAACTTTTCTACTCTACTTATTAATTTTATACTTAATTTCAAACAAAAAACTTCTCTTAATGATACTTATTGGAGTTGCTACATAAAATATTAATAGTAAAATAATTTATTCTACTCTAAAAATTTGACTTCAAAATAATCGATATGAAACCTTAATCCATTATAATTCAGAAAACATATCTGAATTAAAAAAAATAGAATTATTTATATTTGATGAAATATCCATAATAGACACTAACCAATTCATTTTTGTTAGTAATACTTTTGCAAAGATCCATAATAATAATCTTCTCTTCAAAGAATTACCAATATTAATAATAGGTGATCTAACTCAACTACTACCAGTATGTACATTTTCTGTTTTTTGTTCACTAGTTTGACTTAGGTTTTTTCCTCTATTTCTTTTATTTCTCAAATACAACATCACAATATAGACTTTTATAACATATTTCAAAAAATACATGTTGAAAAATTATCTGATACAGGAAAATCTGTTCTTGCATCTAAAATAGATCCTCATATCTTTCCTAATAAATTTTTTGACACAACTCATATAGTATCTACTCAACAAACTGCAGATAATATAAATCAAATACTTTGCCATTATCTTCCATTAGACTATTCCTCTTGTGAACCTATAATTTCTGAATGTAAAGACTCATTGAATTATGAAATATTACCTCATGATCATTTATTTTCCCAATTTAAAAACATAACAAATTTACCTCAATCTTTATACTTACAAGAAGATGCCAGAGTTATGTTTTTGAATAACAAATTGTTTGATGATGACATCTGCAATGGCACCATTGGGATAATAACTAAACTCATAGATAACAATAATATCGAAGTAACTTTCCCTACATGCAAAGGAATAAGCAAAGTAATAGTCCAAAAAGAAACTTCTTACTTCTATATCAACGGTCAAACAGCTTCAAGACAACAGTTTCCGCTTCAAAATGCATTCGTTCTTACTACCCACAAGGTACAAGGTTAAACCCTACCACACGTCACTACAAGCATTGGTTTGCTGAAGGCCAAGTACATGTTGCTATGAGTTGCACAACTTCGTGGAATACTCTCCACATCTTAAACTTTGATTACAATTATCTTAAATCCCCCACTTCAGCTCTAGAAGAATATGAAAGATTAATAATTATACATAACAGAGGTTTACAAAATTTATAAATTCTTTTACCTTTAGCTACCTTTTTTTACTCAACCCCGAATTATTCATCTGTCGCTCACTATTTTAATCCTACATATATATTTATATATTTATATTAAACCAAAAAATATATTATCTACTATTGTACAATAAATAATCATTACGTATATACACCGATATACTTATATAAGACCACAGAATTCCTGATAATAACCTGCTTATTCCTTTTTAAACAAAAATTCAAATATATTAACCGATAACAGCCAATAGCTTGTAATTACTATCTGTATTTTTTCCAACCCATGAAAAACCTGCCTTAATTAACAAAATTCCCTATCGACCATTTTTTTTTTCGACCAAATTGATAACTCACTGGCCTAAGTACGACGGTCCCCTCTTGTAAGTAATTTAATTAATATTATATATATTTGGGTTAAGCCAATCCCGATAAGAGATTTTTATTGTATAATAAGCTTATCGTTATTTAAATACGTGGTATAACAGATCAAAAATTCTTAAAATCAAAAATGCCTCGAAGAGACGCAAAGAAAAAAAAATTAGAAAGAATACTTGGTTCACAAAAATCGACCCCAAAAGAAATACAAGATGCTTTTACAGATTATCTGTCTACTATCAAAGAGTTTCACGAGCGTAGATATCTTCGAAAAGAAATATCAGAAGAAGAATATAATGACACTATTCAAATTCTCAATTCATTAAATGTTCGAATGAAAAATATGATTATTCAGATTGAAAGACTGAAAAATAACATCTTAGAAAAAAAAAATAATAATTTACAAATTGAAAACGAAAAATTACGAACTGAAAATAAAGAATTAGAGAATAATAATGAAAATTTACAATACGCATTATTTGAAGTAGCTACCTTAGCCAATAATAGTGAAGACAAAAATACACAGCTACGTCAAACAATCAAAGATATCTTTGACTTATGTCAAAATGATAACCTTAGTAAGTTTATAAAAAAGCAATACAATTTTTATTATCTCATTTTTCCAAAATTAATCTTTTTTTTATTTAAAGAGCTTAATGAGTTAAATAGAATTTTATATAATAATGGAGTCAGAGAAATAATTGTCCAAAGAGAACGTTATTCAGACTTTAACAGTGCCGCCGAAGAAAGCTTATATAATAATGGAGTCAAAGAAATAATTATCCAAAGAGAACGTTATTCAGACTTTAACAATGCCGCCGAAGCAAGCGAAACAAAAATCTACGAAATTACAGATGGATCTTTTCCACAACCACCACAACCGTATACATATTCATTCTGCGAAACTAACGGAGTTGACCAAGCCAATAAGACCAATGAAGTTAACGAAAGTTAAATTTACTATGAAGCTAACGAAGATGATTAAGCTAGTGAAGATAACGAAAATAGTAATATTTTAGTAGAGAACGAAAATAATTTGGTGAAGCCAATGAAACTGATAATTCAAGAATTAGAATTTATTGGTTTTTAGATATAAAATAAATTTTTTCATAAATTTATTTTTTAGCATATTGATTTTGTTTGTTGTTGATAAATGTCTATTGTTTTAGACCAAATTAAAATGTTAAAGATTTAAAGGCAAAAAGGGTATTGAATAGGTTATTAGGTAATAAAAATAATCTTTAATTATATCCAAATTTACCATTTGGGGCGCCATCAGTCAAAACGTCCCATAGTGAGATTATTAATATGTTACACAAAATGATAAAAAATCAGAACA